GGGTGGATCTGATGTCTTCACGCCGGATCATGCCACGGAAAGGACCGGCAAGTGGTCGGTCGCCGACGGCAACTAAGTCACACCGAGCAAAGCGTCGAGTGATGCTTGTGATCTGAAGTAGAAAGTGTAGGTCAGTGCATGAGGAGTCTAGTATAAGCAAACGGGAAATCCCGTCTATCAAAAGCCCTTCAAACGCTCGGAGATATACCGCTTACTTGTTAAAGTTCCAAGTATTCAAAATCAAATAACGCATTTCTAAGTGTCATTCGTTTTATTAGAGGTAATACCAATGTCTGAATGCAAGTTTTTCGCTACATACAATAAGAGTTCGTTCAAACAGCAAATATGTTCGTTGATGAAAAAATCTGAGGCAAAGAGAACGATAGGACGGGAAGAACATGTTACGCAACCCGATCCGTGGACGCACTTCTAACATAAGTTAACATTCCTAATGGCAACAGATGGTTCGGTGGTAGAGGGTTGGGGCAAGACAAGGGCTAGTACATTGTTGTCAGGGATGTAAGGTTATGCTCTGCGATCGAATATTTGCGTGAGTAAATTTCTAATAAATGGCCTGCTTATCGTTGTTAAAATTAGGCTCCTAGGTCAGATATACCGCCTACGCACAGCGATCCTTTTCGTACCAACAGTACTAGATAAGGATTCAGAAGTCCTGATGCGGATGCCTCCAGCTAAAGTTCGACCTCAGACCTAGAATACGAAGTGCATTTGAACTCTGGAAACAAGACCATTATGTGGGCCGGATTAAGTTAAAATCCGCACAGGTCATTGCCGGAAAGATAATCATATGATTATCTTTCCGTACATATGTACGAACAGACACGTTCGGCCTACCTTTGCGAGTACAATGGAGCCAATAGACGGGATCGGTAACGCCTGCCGAATAGGTTTTATAGAGTAGACGGTCTAAAAACAAGTTGATCAACTGCAGATAAATACTGTTCCGTCTGATTGTGTTTCAGTAACAACATGACCAGCAACGTTTGCAAAAATATTTCCCTCATGAACATGTGTGAAGCTCCCCGAAACATTTTTGTCATCTTTTATTGCCAGATGAGTCCCTATTGAAGTAAATTGGATATAAATTTACTACCAGGAATAGCAAAGGAGCCCATGACGAGGTGCAGTGCGAAAAGAGGGTGGAATCTTGTAGGGTTGCTGGTTCCCACGCGTTTTCCATTGGTCAACAGCATCTGTTCGCTGATTAGTTAATTTTTTCGCGAGTTTTTTTCGCGAATATTCCTCGGCAACTTCAATGGCGCTCGACGTTGTAATTTTAAACCGGTTAGTTCACACGAATTTCTAACTCTGTTAGCGTTGAACTTTTGTGAGGTTTGGGTTTGATGTTAAGCTAGGGGTTAGGGCTACGGTTTGGTAGGAGTTTGGTTCATGATGAATATTAACGCTGGGATTAGTCATATGGATTGCTTAGGGTTAGGGTTCTGGTCAAGTTAGGGTTGGAGTTAGGTTCAGGGATTAGGGCTTGGGTTGCGGTTGGGGTTAAGCATGAGGGTTAGGGTTAGTGTTAGTGTTGGGGTCAGGGCTGAGGTCAGGGTTATCTTTTGGGTTTAGGGTTTGGACTATGGTTGGGGTTAATGTTTGGATTAGAGCTAGGGTAAGTGTTAGGCCTAGTTTCAAGATTATGTTGGAGATTAATGCTAGTGGTCGTGGTTAAGGTTTTGCAAGGTTTCCAGTCCCGTTTAGGGTTAGGGCTTGGTGTGTTTGAGGCTCATGATAAAGCTTACTTTTCGGACTGCTGTCTGGTTTGTCTGACGAATCGGGCCAAGTATATTTTCAGGTAAATTTGAGGCGATTGGTATATTGTTCAGGCGACGAGGACCTGGATAAAGTTGCCTACCATGATTAATGAATTGTGATTTCTATTATTGTATGAATGATTACCTCGTTCTTTTTGCAAACCCTTTTATTTTATTCCATATTCTACTTGTTAAAGTTTGTTTTGTCTTTGTTTTTAACATTGCCTGCCTAATTGTTTTTTTTTGTTGTGGTTGCGCATCCTTCGTCCTTTGGGCACTTGACCCCCCTCAATAGTGCAGCCGAAATGGATGAGTAGATTTTAGGTTTTTTCCTGAGTTCACAGAGACTGACAATGCCCAAGAGGCTCTATAATAATCCTATTCAATTCTATTTTAATATTCTCAACACAGTGGCTATAGGGCTGAGGACGTCTAGGGTAGCACAAACCGATGCAGCGTTGCACTTAGAAGACATTCTGGCTAAGATTGATTTGAGTAGAGCCGTAGCGTGTCGCAATACTCATCCATGCGCAAGGGAAGAAGCAACAAGTGAAGAAGAAGATTCGAACACCGGTAAACTTCGTTTATTATCCTGAGCTTTCAGACTCGTACAGGAATCCATCGTCAGAGGTAGTGGCAGAATCAGGACAAGCGGCAGTTATAAGGCGCGTAGGCCCAATCATCGACCGACGTCGCACGACTGGAGGTGAATACGCAGGGTTAGTATGCCGGCGCCAGATCGGTAAATCGATTGATTGAGTTCTCATCCTAGGCTCAGGCTTCAATCAATTCTCAGCCTGTATAGTTTCCGGCGTGGGCGACTATTTTGGTGGCTGCGAAGTTAAACTCGTGACCCAGTTCGTAGGTGTGGGCGGCCACTTGTGATAATGCGTCGCCTCGCCGCACAGCCAGCTTGTGTTCTAGTATGCGCGATCCGAGCATGCGTCCAGTCTGTCCTGTGTATTTAGAAGGACAATTTTGACACGGGAGGCGATGATTACATGCTAGGGTGGGTTGATAGACGACTAGTCGTCTTTCGTCGACAGCTCAATCAACAACTACACCAATTAGCTTGCCCCCCTTCGGTTTTAGGAATTTTCTTCGCACGAGGCAGTGAGGATATGGACCATTGGGGACGCCAATTATCTCCGCAGTCAACGAGGGGAGGGGGCCAAACTAGTCGCATTTAAATGCGAATCCGGTGTAGCTCCACAGGAGGTCAATTAGGGTCATGTACATAGAACTGTGTGCATGAATTTCCAGTATCTGGTGACGGGCAGACGAATTCACTACTTGGAACGTCAGACGCTCGTCTGGCCTGCCCCGAAGGAAGCCTCCTTATGACAGGCCATCTAGGAATTGCATTTCTCCTGCTATTAAAATTACTAATTACCTAAATGACAAAAGCATTATCGATGTTTTGCAACAGTTCTTTTTTTGCAGGAACCGCCAATAACCAGTGAAGAACGTCCAGAAGCCCATTTATGTCCATTGAAGAACTGCATCCTGCCTGTATTTTTTGTTCTGACTCCGCTCATCTGCAAATACTCAATAAACCATCCTTTCTAAACATTGTCTGTCCATTTTCCTATGTCGTGGGATACAGTGAACGCTAACTAGGTTCTCCGATTGTGCACTTACGCGGGGATGTCTATCGCTGATTTGCTTTAGCCGTGGCTGGGAGGATTCAATGACGCATGCAATCTTACTGCCACAGCCGCCAGTTTAGAATGAGTGCACTCGCGAGTAAAAGACGGAGTCCATAAAAGGGTGGGGGGATGAATGGAGAAGGGGGGGGCGCCGCCAGGCATTTTTTCCGGATGGTGTGGCCAAACCTGGCTGAGGCGTCGAAGGCCACGCCTTAGCCACGCCAAATGGCCCCGTTTGGCCATGTCATAGCCACATATTGCCGCGGCGGCAAGGGGATGAACTGCAACGAGGGAGTAACCCGTCTGGATGGTGAGACGACACTTACATGCCAGCCAAATAACCGCTGGTGAACGCAGCGCTGTGGGCAACTCCAGGGGAGGGGCTGAGGGCGATGCGATATAGGGGAGAAGGAAAAATGTGAATGTTATGGAGAGTTGCGGAATGGGGGTTGGCGGTAGTGAGAAGGAGGACACCGGCCATTTTCACAGACACGCAGTTATCCCATCACAATCTTAGGTCCGCGCGCTGAAAGTGCCTCTCCATTAAAACAAGCATACACATATCGCGGGGCGTTATACTGCCACTGTTTGTAGCTATCGATTTTTCGGTGACACACAAAAGCAAACGTCTGTTTGATGGTGTGGTTAATGTCCATGAAAATCACTACTTGAAAGTAAGGCAATGTAGGCGATAATAATAATATTTTTTTATTCGAAACCGCTGGGGCTCCTGTCATAGCAAGCAAAAATACATTTTACATACGTTTTAGGACAGGTGGACAGAATCGATGTACGTATATGTTGAAGGCAGAGGCGTTCTTTGGGAAAGGTACTTTATTGCGTGAATTTTCGACGCTGGTTCCCCAGGTCGTCGTCAGACGCAGACTGATGGTAAATGTGCCGGCAACAGTTAACATCGGGCACTGCACACAAAAAATCGATAGTCGTTCACGTTTGCGCCCGTGAGCGGCCGCTATTTGCGTCACTCCGGCCCGATTGGCTCTCGTCTCTTCCATTTCTCCTTGAGACTTTTGTGCGCGGCGTCCAACTCGATATGGTGGTTGATGCACGATTCGTCCGAGTGCATGACCTCGAGGAACTCTCGGCCTTTCTTAAAGGGGCAGGCACCTACAATCCGTGTTCTGTCCCAAGCAAACGTATGCCCCGTGTCCAGGGTATGCATGGCTACTTGAGACAGGTGGTCTCGCCTCTTTACTGCAAGTTGGTGTTCGTGAATGCTTGTAGAGGCGGTTTTTCCTGTTTGACCACAATAAAGTGCATCACAGGCCTCACATAGGATCTTGTAGACGACTTCCTTTCTATCCAAATAGCCGACCCTATCCTTAGGGTGTACTATCTTAGTACGTATTGTAATCGTTGGTCTGTGTGTCACCAGAATTTGGCGCCTCTTTAGGTGCCTTTCCACGAGTTCAGACACATTTTTGATGTAAGGGAGGGTTCGCCATGTACTTGGCTTGGGTGTCTGACTGGAAGTTCCTTGTTCCCTCTCCTTTGACTCTTTCTGTCTCATGCACCAGCGCACAAAATCCATGGGGTACCCATTTCGGGAAAATAATTCACAGAAGTTGTTTAGTTCGACTCGGTAGTCGTCGTCGTCCGAGCAGTGTGTTTTTTGTCCGATTAAGCAGACAGTTGACCGTACTCCGTTTGTGGAAAATGGGGTGGTGCTCTCGTAGTGTAGAATGATATCCGCATAAGTTTGTTTGCGGCACACCGATGTGCGCAATGTCCCGTCGGTCTTCCGCTGCACGAGAACATCCAAAAATGGGAGTTTGTTGTCAACTTCTTTCTCGAGTGTGAATTTAATCCCCGGCATTGTTGTGGAGCGTTTCTAGTTGATCCTTTTTAACGATCACAAATGTGTAGTCCACGTTCCGCAGCCACGATATAGGGTTAACTAACGGAAGAGCCGTGGCCTCTAGTTTCTGCATTGTGATCTCGGCGAGGAAGCCAGAGATAGATTAACCCATTGGGGCTCCTTTCAGTTGTTGGTTGTGCTGTTGGTCGAACGAAAAATTTGTTTCCATACACAGGTCTAAGAGTTCGAGTAAGGCAATAGCGGGAACATCCATGTCACAGGACTTCAGGAGGTCATCTGTGAATCGTTTTGCCAGATCCAGCGGTACTGACGTGAAGAGGGAGACGACATCGAAGAAGACCATGATCTCGTCGGAGGAAACTGTGATTCCTTTTAATTTCTTAAGAAACTCTATAGAGTTCTCAATCGACTTTTCACAATTCCTAGTAAGTGGATGAAGTTTGCGGAAGAGCCACTTTGAAATTTTGTAGTTGAGAGCGCCGATTAACGATACAATCGGTCGCAAAGGCACTTTAGCTTTGTGGACTTTAGGTAGTCCATTGATCCTAGCAATGGTGGGCTCAGTTTGTTTTAGTTACTTAGCAATATCTCCCGACAGTTGTTTTTTTCCCAGTGAGGCGCTTCAACACTTTATCAACAGACGTGATCTGTGCTTTTGTAGGATCCGCGGGAAGTGGTTGATAAGTTGATCCATCTTCTAACACGCATTCACGAACACCAACTTGCAGTAAAGAGGCGAGACCACCTGTCTCAAGTAGCCATGCATACCCTGGACACGGGGCATACGTTTGCTTGGGACAGAACACGGATTGTAGGTGCCTGCCCCTTTAAGAAAGGCCGAGAGTTCCTCGAGGTCATGCACTCGGGCGAATCGTGCATCAACCACCATATCGAGTTGGACGCCGCGCACAAAAGTCTCAAGGAGAAATGGAAGAGACGAGAGCCAA